CAAAAGAGGCTCGGAAAGAGGGGAAGTTCAATACCTTTGCTTTGAGAATGAAAACTCCAACCATAGGTGCTCGACATGTTTGTGGAGGTCCAAGGAGGCTCAGGATTGAGCCTCTGGTCGTGGTGAAAGGTCTAGACCTGAATTCGATCAAGGCCGGATTTGGGTGTTGGTTTTGAGATATCTTAGAGGCTATGTATGAGGGGGGTTTGATAGAGCTTTATCTTAGTTCACTGTGGTGCTGGTGTGGGTGAGTTTAATTTGGATTTGGTGCACTGTGGAGGTGTGGTGAAGAATATCCTATCTCCGACAAGGATTTGAGCTCCAAAATTGAACTCCAGCAAGGGGAATTAGAGCAATGCAGTGGTTGGATTGCACTTTGGAGGTCTTAAGGAAGCTCAGGGTGTAATTTCAGAGGCTATCCTTAAGAAATTTTTCAGCACCACTTTCATGGCCATGGAGGTGGAGCTTTTATAAAAATGGCTTAGGGTGGCTCTGTGGGCCAATTGAGGGGTGTAAAATGATGCTTATGTGGAGGACAGAGAAGCTCTAAATTTAAAATGAGATGAGGTGGTTCTAGGTTTTAATTGGGGTTGGATTTCTTGAGGGTGGCTCACGATTTTGGCTCCTCCGGTGACTAGGCCGACCGACAAGGCTAGGGGAGGTGGCTAGGAGGTCAGGTTAGTAAGGGGAATCTGTCACAACAATTAATTTGGGCGGTGTTTAGTTTTGGCAAAAATCCCTTAGATTTAGAAATTAGCTTAAGCAATTTTGGAAATAAATTCCTTGATTTGGAGATCCTTTGGTCCTTGGCTCATTTGGGTGGTTCCATGGGGTTTATCCTAGTCAATAAGGTCCAAAATTAGGCTGTGGTGGCTTTGCCTTGACCAATTTTGCATGGCTAGGTCAATTTTGGTGCATGGGTTCAATATGGGTAGCAATGAATTGAGCCCAATTTATTGATTAAAATTATGTAGATGATTGTAATGAGCATTTTTAGTGAAGGATTGAAGTAATTTTGAGTTCAATTGGAAGCTCAATTTGAAGGATTTTGAGATTTTGGTCAATTTGGGCACGTTGGACTAAATGTCGTTGGACTAGACTTGCTAGACTTCGGTTTAGATTGGGCTAGGCTTGGAATATGGCTCAATTAAATGGTCCAAATTATCAAGGGAGATGTTATAAAGATTTTTCATGAAGGTGATGGAGTGAAAATTTTGGGCTAAGGCAATCAATTTGGTGGAATTTTGAGACATGGCCAATTTAGAGCAAAATTGGGGATTTTGGATTTGGGTTGAAATGAAATGAAATTGAGGCTTCACCAAGGCCAATTAAAGGTCAAGTTTGATTTTTAGGAGTGTTATGAAGAGTTTAGGATCTAAATTGAGACCAATGGAGTAGGCCATGTCCACCAATTTCAAATTGGTGGAACTAAGTCATAGGGCCAAAATTGGAGTTTGACTTAGATCAAAATTGGGCTCAAAGCATGGGCCAATTGAGCGATTTGCTTTAGATGGGTTATATGGAAGGTGAATTTGAGTTTAGATTTGAAATTGGGGGAAATTGGAACCAAATCGATGGACATTTAAAGTGAATTTAGGGAAATTGAGCCTTTAAAGGTAATTTGGGGGTTTTGGTCAAAATGGTTAAATTGGTCAAATTGGTTCATGTGGTAGTTGAGAAAAATGAAATTGGGAATATTTGGAAGGTTTTTGGAATTTTGGGATTTTTTGGAATTTTGGGCTAAGGAGGGGCATTTTGGTAATTCAGCAAATTTTTGGTGATTTTGGGTAATTTGAATGTTTTCAAAAGGTTTGAAATGATTTTTGAACAAATTTGGGTATTTTGGGTAAATTTGGGAATTTTGGCCAAATTTAGGATTTCAATGGTACTTAGGTAATTTGGGGGAGTTCAGAGGCAAAAAGGCCAAGTTGAGTATTTTTGGTAAAATTTGGGTGTCAACCACCATAAATGAGCTATGGATCAATGGAAACCCCATTTGAGTCCTCTATGTACTGGTCTTAGCTAAACCCTAGCCTAGGGCTAGCAGGTTTAGTAGACCATCTACATGAGTCTCCCAAAGGATTAAGAGATCAAAATCAAGGTACTTTGGGTTTGTATTTGTGAGTGATTGTGAGTGAGGTGAGTACCTTAGCTCTAGACCAACACCCAGGGTCAACCTTAAGATCAAGCAATCCTATGGGAACTCTCCTTGGGCTCCCCCATATTGACCCCACCTACTAAGTGCTAGAGGTTAGGACCACTATGTGGACCTTCAAGTTGAGTAAAGAGAAGTTTGGAATTTCTAATGGTGAGGGTTCCTTTTCTAGTTTTATAGGAATGGTCAACAGGAAAGTCCTATGGCTAGATCATAGGCTACTAAAGAGGAAAAACTAGACCTCAACCAAAAATGAGGTCAACAAATGGACCCCAATAGGTGTGATGAGTTGGGCAAGCACACTACGCGTATTGGCATCGATTGACGAGATCAACAAAACCAACGTAGAATCCTAAGTTAACAGACTTAGAAGGAGGTGTAGAATTGTGTGTGTTATTTGTTTTCACTTAGGAATTAGCAGATGAATATTTGATCGAAGTCAAGAAGTAGGAACTCTCGCTAGGGATTGGAGAGTTAGTTTTGAATTACTATATTTCAGGTGTTCATAGAGGATGGGAATCAGTATGTAAGTGCTGACCCCGAAGTGGGAATTGAAGTTTTGGTATTAATTTTAAAAGAGGGTCGGAAGTTAAGGACTAGCTCAAAAAGAAAGGAATCAGAAGTTAAGGACTAGGCTGATTCCAAAATGAGAATTGGAAGTTAAGGATCAATCACAAGAGGGAGTCGAAAGTTAAGGACCAACCTTGAAAGAAAAGAGGAATCAGAAGTTAAGTATTGATTCTAAAATGAGAATTGAAAGTTAAAGATCAATCTCAAGAGAGAGTCGGAAGTTAAGGACCGACCTCAAAAGAAGAGAGGAATCAAAAGTTAAGGACTAATTCTAAAATGAGAATTGAAAGTTAATGATCAATTTCAAAAGAGATTCGGAAGTTAAGGACCAACCTCAAAAAGAGTGAATTAGAAGTTAAGGACTGATTCTAAAACGAGAATTGAAATTTAATGATCAATCTCAAAAGAGAGTAGAAAGTTAAGGACCGACATCAAAAAGAGTGAATCAAAAGTTAATGATTTATTCTAAAATGAGAATTGAAAGTTAATGATCAATATCAAAAGAGAGTCGAAAGTTAAGGACCGACCTCGAAAAAAGAGAGGAATCAGAAGTTAAGGACTGATTCCAAAATAAGAATTGAAAGTTAAGGATCAATCTCAAGAGAGAGTCGGAAGTTAAGGACCGACCTCAAGAAAAGAGAGGAATCAGAAGTTAAGGACTGATTCTAAAATAAGAATTGAAAGTTAATCATCAATCTCAAGAGAGAGTCGGAAGTTAAGAACCGACTTCGAAGGGAAAGGAATCAGAAGTTAAGGGTTGATTCCAAAATGAGAATTGAAATTTAATGATCAATCTCAAGAGATGGAGTCGAAAGTTAAGGACTGACCTCGAAAGGAAGGGAATCAAAAGTTAAGGACTGATTCCTAAATGAGAATTGAAAGTTAAGGATCAATCTCAAGAGAGAGTCGGAAGTTAAGGACCGACCTGGAAAAGAAGTGAATCAGAAGTTAGGGACTGATTCCAAAATGAGAATTGAAAGTTAATGATCAATCTCAAGAAAGAGAGTCGGAAGATAAGGACCGACCTCGAAAGGAAAGGAATCAAAATTTAAGGATTGATTCTGAAATGAGAGTTAAAAGTTAAGAATCAATCTAAAAAGAGAGTCAGAAGTTAGGGACCGACCTCGAAAAGAAGTGAATCAGAAGTTAGGGACTGATTCTAAAATGAGAATTGACAGTTAATGATCAATCTCAAAAGAGGGTCGGAAGTTAAGGACCGACCTCAAAAAGAGTGAATCGGAAGTTAAGGACTGATTCTAAATTGCAAATTGAAAGTTAAGGATTAATCTCGAAAGAGAAAGTCAGAATTTAAGGATTGTCCTAGAAAAGACTGAATCAGAAGTTAAGGACTGATTCTAAAATGAGAATTGAAAGTTACTAAGAGTTTGTGGTGTTGAACCTATAAATATGTGTCATGTGAATAGGTTGACATTATTGAGGAAGGTATGTGGAATTTTGTGAGGTTTTGAGTGCAGAACGTGAAATTCCATGAGGATGTGAAGAGAACTAGTGCAGGCAAAGATAGTTGTGTTGCGAGAGCGAAGAGTAAGAGACCTCAAAATTGAGAGAATCAACTCAACATATTTATTGTCTTTTCTTGTTGTTTTTATCATGGTTAATTTTCAAAATATGTTTTTCCAAAATTTAATTTTTGTGGGTTGATTAATTTTCAAAAGAGTGTTGTTTTGTTGTTTGCTTGTTTGTTATTCTTGTTTGTTATTTTTATTTTTTATTTAATATTTATTATCGTCAACTTTTTTGGTTTTGCTCTATGTTTGTTGTAATCTCAGACCAACGCATGGTCTGTGGCTTTTATCCATTGCACAAAAAGGCCAAGAAAAGGTTCTGAGAAAAGTTTCTGAAAGAAACTTCATTAATCTGTTCCAATAAATGTTACAGATTGAATATAGGCCAAAGCCTAAAAAAAGTACAATATGCTAACTGCATCAAAGTACATCCATAAATGTTCCACGCTAAGTATATATCATAGGCTGAGCATGTCTGATACATATCATATTTGCTCATATGAAATGCAATAAAATGGAAAGGAATCCTCTGAATGTCTGTCTCTGGTGAAGTAAACACCTGATCGAGCAGACATTCTAAGCCATGCTCCAGGACAAGAGTTCCATTCGCATGTACTTAACATGTACTTAGAGGTGCAACCCTCTCATAGCTCGTTCAGTAGTAGTTCTTCCAACCCTAGATCTGGTTGAAATTCATATGGCATTTTGTTGTTATACATTCGTCGAAAGGTCAGGGACACCCTACGGTGTCACACCCCTGGAATACAATGCTTGGCAACGTCTGTTCCGTTCCCTTTAAGGACTAGCACTAAACCAACAGGTAGCAGAATTTCTACAGATCCTCTGAATTCACCAGGTCCGAAAACATCTATTTCTTGTCCAAACAGAATGTTGATTTTTCTCATGAATGAGACCATGTAGAAAAGTCTCAATAAGTTATGATGATCAATATGCAGAGGTATGCAATCTTCTTCATCGTATATGTTGATGATGCAGCTGTTAGGGATTGCCAATATACTCCATCTAACCATTCTTTTAATCATCCATTTTATCATTAGAGGTAGTTGTTCCACCTGATCGTGTCTGAGAATCCCAGGAGGATTTCCTTGTCTATCGTTGGTGAAGTAGTAGCAGCAGCCACACCAGATAGTGATCATCCCCTTTCCTCGTATCCACTTTCTTGGCTCAGAATAGGTTCTTTCCATAAGCAGGCCTGCTCAACCTCTATTTCTCAGGTGAAAAATGCAGTCGAGAATGTTTCATTCGTCACTTTCTTAAAAGACCCTGATATATAATTTTAATCCTTCTAATATGTTGATGAACCTCCCACACATTTCTTCGTAGAATTCAAAATTTCTTTTGTTCACTTTGCCCATCTTATAGTACTCTATCGTACTGAGAATCGTCGGTTGTCGAGGATATTCCCTCATTTCAACATCGGTGGGAACCCAAGCTGGCACTGATTATTGCGCTAACAGAATGTATGACTCGACATCCAAAGAGACATATGGCTTTGGACTCCACGGGAAATATTGATTGTTTCCAGCGGGACATACGACTCCCCCATCGGGCAATCGACGGTCTAAGACCCATCATCGGTAGATGCGTACTCCTCTAAGGTGCTGTAGTTCTGTAGGTGTAGGACATTATAGTTCGGATATTCTACGAATGCCCTTGTAGCTGACTCTCGTGTAGGTATTTTGGCGTTGCAGATTGGGGAAACCTATACAAAGAACATTTGAAGCTAGTGGTATTTCCGGTTCTGTAATAAACCCGGACTCCTCATCTGTAGTAGGCAAGCTGTAAGAGGTTTCCCTCATGCCCGGATCATAGATATCCCCTTCAAAGATACGAGTGAGCAAGTTCTTTGCCTCTTTTTGGCATCTCCTCTCCTCACGTAGGAAAGCCCTATGTTTTTGGCAGCTAGCAGTTTTGTGCTGAGTCCTCCGTAGTGGTGCATCTGGAAGTCTTTCATTATCGACAGCGACTAGGCCTCCGGTCGGCATAGCTATCATGGACGGTAGGCGACTGGTCCCCTTCATCAGGTCTTGTTGTACTATTACATTTTTCCCCTTCAGTGAGAAGCTATTCCTGGTGCCGAACCTTAGTAGTGAGGGTAGTCCTTCCTTTTCCTGACGGATAACCATGTCCATTGGGCCATGTTGACTTGGCTAAAGTCCATGTCAAAGTCTATGGTGCTGCCCTGCGGCGCCCTTTCGTCTTTAAGTGCAAGGTTCCATCCATCTTTAAAAGTAAAGATCAGCCTCTGACCTAACATTTCTCTACAGACGATAGGAAAAATATCAGTGAGCTGAAACGTTCCGTGAACAAGAACAAAACAAAGTGTTTATTAAAGAAAATTTTAGTTTTATGTTGGTGAGAAAACAATTTTTTTATGTGTATATATTGTTTAATTTAGTAGAATATCAAGTTTAAAAAGGAGAAAATTGAAGTGTGTAATTTCAAAAACTTTCATTAAATTGAGGTTAATCTTATTACAAAATTTTTTGGACATGGTCACAAACATTTGGCCAAATAGATAACCCCAAAACAATTTAAATTTTAAGATTTCAAATCAAGCGATGTTAAGCAATGTCAGGTTGCGTAGTATGTCTTTAGGTATCATCCATTGATTGGCAACATGGGTATTTCACCACGAAAATCTACTAATGGGTAGGCTCCTCCTGCGTAGACCTTTTCTACGACAAAATGGTCCCTCCCAAGTTGGCTTGAATTTTCCACCTATCATGCGGCGTGCAAGAATGGGTCTTTTGATCACGAGGACAAGGTAACCAACTTTGAATGTTCTAGGGCGGACCAGTTTGTCATGAGCTTGTACCGTCTTTTCCTGGTAAGGTTTCAAATATTGTTGTGCTTCAAGTCATTTTCCCTCAAGACTCTCTAATTCTTCAAGTCTAAGCTTTGCACTTTCTTCCATTATAAGTTGGTTGGCAGCAGCGATTCTGAGAGACGGCGTCTGAACTTCTAATGGTAGTACTGCCTCGAACCCGTACACGAGCATGTAGGGTGTGCACTGAGTGGGAGTTCTGAACGTTGTTCGATAAGCCCACAAAAGTTGTAGTAACTTGTTGTGCCAATCTCTTTTGTTTTAGTCTAGTGTTTTCTTTAAAATCTATACCAATGTCTTGTTGAAGGCTTCAGCCAGGCCATTTTCTCTAGGATAGTAAATTGTAAAGTATCTCCAATCTATTCAGTGCCGTTTGAAAGTGCCGTTTGAAAAAAAATTGTTGATTTTTGTGCTTTTATAGGCTATCCCATTGTCAGAAATTATTCTTTGTGATACTCTGAAATGGTAAATAATTTAGCTTTTGAAGAATTGAAGGATGTGTTGTGTCGTGACCTCTCGTAACGGTACTGCCTCTGTCCATTTTGAGAAATAATCTGTAGGGGCAAGTAAAAATTTGTGTCCTTTGGAGGACAGAGGCTATATCGGACCTATTATGTCTGTGCCCTAACACTCGAATGGCCACGAGGCAACGGTTGGGTGTAGCACATTCAGAGGGTGGTGTAAGACCACCCCATGCACCTGCTGACACTGGTGACTGGTGACATTTTATGCCTGTATCCATCAGTCGGACATCATTGCTGACCAATAATATCCAAGCATTTTGATATTCATTTTCATCTTTGGCCCTGACTGGTGAGCGCCACACAATCCGACATGTACTTCTTTGACAATATTATGTGCTTCAGCTTTGTTTAGACATCGTAGCCACATTTGATCGAACGATCATCTGTAGAGGACGTCACCCACTAGAGCGTAAGACATAACCATTTTTGTAATGTGATGTGTTTTATACTTGTCTTCTGGTAGTTTTCCAGTATGCAAATATTCTATTAATGACTTGCGCCAATCTTCGTTGATATCCGCAACTGTAATTATCTTTTATTCTTCTTTCCCGAGCATGTGTAGAGTTTTGAGGTCGATTCGAGATAAAACTTGTCTTCATTGTACTGTGATATTAATGGAATCCTCCGGGGGACATGTTAATTCTTTTGCAAGTTTTGCTAGAGCGTCAGCATGGGCATTATCTCCTCGAGGAATCCGGTAGAAAATTTTATTGGCAATCTGTTCCAGCAGCTTCATCATGTATTAGTGATATTCTACTAGCCTTGGTTTCAAAATCATGTATTATCCGACGACTTGCTGGATGAAGAGTTATGAGTCACTATAGATGGTAATATCTGTTATATCCATCGAGATTGCCAACTCTAATCCACTAATTAAGGCTTCATATTTTGCTTCGTTGTTGGTACATGGCTCTGTCAGGTGGTATAAGAACCTCAACATACCTTTATCTGGCGTGATAAATATCAATCCAATACCCGCTTCTCCTGGTATAACTGTGCCTGATCCTTTGTCCTTTCTGGCTGACAAAGCTTGGTCAAAGTACATTTTCCAGTGTTTCACACTTGAGAATTCCATTTGTAGTACATGCTCATCTAGTAGTTCATCATTAAGAGGGGACCCAGCTCAAAGTGAGTGTGCAGCAAGAAAGTCTACTAAAATTTGTCCCTTGATAGCATTGAGGGGAACAAAAGTTATATCAAATTGTAATAAAATCATTGACCATCTTGCTAGACATCCAGAGAGTGTTGGTTTGGTCATCAAATATTGCAACAGATTTACTTTTGAAATTAGGGTAATTTTTTGAGAAAGCATGTGATGTCTAAGTTTTTGGGCGGCCAAAATCAAACCTAGACAATGCTTCTCAATAAGTGAATACCTTATCTCTGTTGGTATTAGGCGACGAATCAAGTAGTAGAGTGCGTTTTCTTTACCCTCGTCATTGACTTGGGCTAAGAGAGCTCCAAGAGAAAGTATCAAAGGTTTCCCTGGGATAGGGGCTGCCAAGATAAGAGGTGTCATTAAATATTGCTTAACATCCTCAAAGGCTCGTTGGCATTTCTCTTCCCAAACGAATTTGGTGTCCTTTTTAATTAATGCTGAGAAGGGCTGACACCTACCTGAGAGATTAAAAATAAAGCGTCTTAGATATGCCAACTTTCCTTGGAAGGAACGTAGTTGTTTCAAGCTTTTAGGAGGAGACATTTCCAAGATAGCTTTAATCTTATCTGGGTCGATCTCGATTCCCCGATGACAGACAATGAATTCTAGAAATTTCCTGGAGGTAACCTCAAAAGTGCACTTTAAGGGATTCATTTTAAGGTCATATCATCGTAACATTTTTAACACGATCCTCAAATCATGCAAATGGTCTATTTTTTGCTTGCTCTTGATGACAAAATGATCCATGTAGCATTCCACTTGATTGTGAATGAGATCATAAAAAATCTTTGTCATTGCATGTTGATGTGTTGCTCCAGCATTCTTCAATTCAAACGACATCACTGTGTAGCAGAAAATCCCGATAGACATTCTAAAGGCTGTAAGTGCTGCATCCTCGGGAGCCATATTGATTTGGTTGTATCCCGACGATCCGTCCATGAAAGAGAAAATTCCATATGTTGAAGCGATGTCCACCATCATTTCTGGTATCGGTAATGGAAATTCATCTTTTGGACACGCTTTGTTCAAATCTCTATAGTCGACACAAACACGTTTTTGTCCATTTTCTTCTTAACTTGGATAATGTTAACTAACCATGTGGGGTATTGTTCTTCTTTTACAAAGTTAGCATCTATTAATTTCTTCACATCGGAGATGACTTGCTGCTCTATATTGAGACACATTCTTCTGGGAGTTTGTTTCACTGGGGTCATATTTTTGTCTACCTAGAGTTTATGAGCTGCAACCTCTGCTGATAGTCCTGACATCTCATCATAGCTCCATGCGAAGCAATCTTTGAATTTTGTTAGCAATTTGATCAGTTGTAAAGCTTTTTCATCATTGAGTAGAGAACTTATAAATGTAGGTTGCAGTTGTTCTCCAATCCCAAGGTTAATTTCCTTCAATTCATCAATAGTTGATTTAATTTCCTCCTCAAATTATGGCGGAGCATTTTCTATCAGCTGATCAGTAGAGTCATCCTCCATATTGAGGCAATCCCCTTTTGATTCACTAGTAACAACCATATAAAATTTTGAATCGTCGACTGGCCTGACTGTACCAAATCTGAGACCCTCTTTCAAGTTTGGAGTTCGACTTTTAATATTCCATAATTTTTCAAAAATTTGAAATTTATCTTTTGGCATTTGTTTTGGCAAGTGTCCCTGTTGAAGT